CATAACTACGTGACACCAACTAGTTCACATGTTCATGCTATTTTTTAAGCACCCTATATAACTACGTGACACCAACTAGTTCACATGTTCATGCTATTTTTAAGCACCCTACATAACTCCATGACACCAACTAGTTCACCTATTCATGCTATTTATAGCACCTTACACAACTCCATGACACCAACTAGTTCACATGTTCATGCTATTTTTAAGCACCCTACATAACTCCATGACACCAACTAGTTCACCTATTCATGCTATTTATAGCACCTTACACAACTCCATGACACCAACTAGTTCACATGTTCATGCTATTTTTTAAGCACCCTACATAACTTCATGAAACCAACCAGTTCACATGTTCATGTTATTTTTTTAAGCACCCTACATAACCCCATGTGAACTAGTTGGTGTCACGTAGTTATATAGGGTGCTTAAAAAATAGCATGAACATGTGAACTAGTTGGTGTCACGTAGTTATGTAGGGTGGTTAAAAAATAGCATGAACATGTGAAGTAGTTGGTGTCATGTTATGTAGGGTGCTTAAAAAATAGCATGAATTATGTGAACTAGTTGGTGTCATGGATTCATGTTATTTTTTTAAGCACCCTACATAACTCCATGACACCAACTACTTCACATGTTCATGCTATTTTTTAAGCACCCTACATAACTCCATCACATTTATATAATATCGCAACAACAAATCATTAGATTGTGTCATTTTATATTAATTTATTGCTTACATATTTACTTTCTGTGATTTTTAATCAGTGCAGTAATTTTGTAGGCACCACAATTAATCTGTTCAAAACTGTTACTAACACTAAATATAAATATTACTGTTACCCTCAAGATATATTATAATCAGTACTAAAAAACAACAACACTCCAATCCATTATTTTACAGATATACAAACTTTTAACATAACCAACTAAACTTATGGTGATTTAGAAGCAAAAAATATTACTAGCAGAAAGCTCCACAAAAACTTGTACAACTCACAATTTGCAAGTACAACATTCCACAAAATTAGAATACATAATAATGCAAGCTAACCACATATAGGTATTGTAGTATCACTGAATATTAAGTGAGTCATAATATATGCTAAAACAACGTAGTCACTAAATAAATGGCAGATGTAAATTTTCTTTTTATACAACTTACTTGCAACATGGAAATTAAGTGTGTATTAAATTTTCCAAAAAATTCTCTTACACAGAGTTCTGTCATTATTATACACAAAAATAAATATTAACACAACAAACAGTTAATTAAGCTTCACACTGTAAATATATATATATATATATATATATATACGTGTTTTCATAACAACATACAAGTTCGTATTTTATCTTTTTTATATAACCACAATGGATACCAAAATAGTTTTATAGTAACCTTTTAACACTGTTAAATAGTAGCATTTTTCATGTAAAGGAGATTTCACAATGTCTTGAACTAGCAAATAGGAAAGTGGAGAATGCAGAAAAGTAATGGATAGGTGTTTTACTTTATACATTTTTTTATTGGGTGCCATTTACATTTAAATACAATTAATAAAAAGTCTTAAATAAAACCAATTTCCACAGCCAACACTGTCTACTGTAATTTATTTATTCATTCACAAAATATTATATAAGATGATTGACTTTAAAGTCAAGAGTGCAAGGTCTAGAGAAGTGATTTAGCAACATAACTTTATAGCCCCTTTTCCAGCATCTGATGCTAATCTTTATGAATGGTAATGCCCCATAAGAGAACATGAAAGTGTAAAGAAGCATATCAAGACATTTCCCAAAATAAGTAACACAAAAAAACACCTTCAAATGAATAGTTGAAAATCGATCTAAAAATATTGCTTTACATTATTTACATGTTTATACTTAAAATGTCTTATTTAGAGATAAACTGTGTGATACAATTTTCAGTTACCCATTTGTAGCTTTTTTCTTGTTATTCACAAAGTTTCTAGTTATATCACCCCCCATCCTATTTCTGATAATGCCTCAAAAGAAAATTTTCTTCAGCCTTGCATCCATTCTTTTAAAAAAGTGTTTTGTAATATGTTCTTACTAGCTGGAATCTGATATTTCTATCTTGTCTGTGAAGACAGCAATTAACTTATATCAATTTCTTGTTAATAATCAGCTAAAAACTAATTTAAATGGTATAGCTAATTAACTGAAAAATATTTATAAATTTCATTTTTATTTGTGGGTTAAAGCACAAACAAGCAACTGAGTAAAGACCTGGCCAGTGACAAACTTGAACATATAATTATTGAATGTGGTAAATTTCTCATTAAGTTGTACTGTTAACTGATATAAATTCTTATGAATCTTTGCTCCTGACAAACATATGATTTCTACATAAATACCATATTGTCTGTGGAATAACAATAAAATCATACTATTATAAATCAATGTATACCTGGTTTGAGGCTAATCAAAACAACTCTGACATACATTATACCGAATTCTTGTATTAATTATTGGAATCTAAATATATACATTGATTGGTCTCACAATTAGTGATACCATGCGACACAAGATTACTGAGTAGATATTTTCAGTATTCTAGTCCATTATCGACTCTTGTTACCAGTTTTTTGCACCAAACTAGGTGTCCTTATTAGATGCAATCATATTTAGAGGCCAAGGATAAAAAACCCATTTTGTGGATATCTTTTGTGAACAGCCCTCAAATAAACATTTCAAAAATGTTTTTTCTTTTACT